CTTCCGCATTCTCCCAAGACCTCCGATAAGTAGCAGACAGGCAGACCGGTAATTAGTCTAACCCTGGTCCTGCAAGTCAATTCGGGATCAAAGAGAGAGACAAAACACGTGCACAAAACGGACAGATGGCCAGGAACGCACAGGCTACCCCGAAGCGAGCTTAACACACCAATGATCGGAGCCCACCAGCGAGCATTCTCCGTCATCTCCACTTTCTTTGTTCCTTGTGTTTGCATGCATGTTCTCCTTCGAAGCCGTTGGGGGAGTCTTATGGAGTCTTTGTGTTCCTTCTTTGTTAGAGAGTCCCCTCTGAGGTGGGGAGTCGAGCGACGTGGAGTCCGAGGCTGAGGAGCCCAAGCAGATCCAACGGCCCCGACGAGGCCCCAATTTCAGACGCAGCGCCCTAGGGCGCTAGCCGGAAGAGCCCTAGCTGAGCCCAAGCTGATCTTTGCTCTGTTCTTCCCCTCGCTGGGGGGTTGTTACATCTTATACAAAGCTCTTTCTCCTCGCCCGGTCTCCCCCTCATCCCTTTTCAGAGAATTCCCGGAGCCAAAATGAGCCTGCAAATTCCTTGCCTGCAGGGTGTGGATGTTCGAAGTACAACATTTTTTAAGTTGCATATGAAGGGGCGCTTTACTTGACGTCATTTGAAGGGGCTGCGCCCATGGGCGGGCAGCGCAGGCAGAAACTCGAGGAGAGTTGATCTCTTCTTATGCTTTTCAAGCCTGCCGCCAATGCCGCTGCAAACGGGGCGCGCGCGCGAGCCCCCCGTTTGCCGCGGCATTCGACCCGCTTTAGTCGTAGAACATAGCCGGAACGCACGGGTTTGGCGGTGGTGTCTATCCTGTCAAAGCCATGACCTTTCAACCCAACCCTATATATGCCTTGAGCTCAAAGACCTGGAAACCTGAATGCCTGAATTAATACTAATACTGCAACCACACCACGAAGACCACAGCCGAGGGAAAGGCAATCCCCCCATGGGCCATCATGTCAGCCTGGCGACCCAAGCCTGGAGCCGCTGATGCTCATGATGCGCGGTTTTAGGGGGAAACCAAGGCCGATGCTTCTGATGCACGGCCTGAGTCCCGGACTGAACCCGCTGATGCTCATGATGCGCGCTCTTTGGGGGCGGCCCGTGGCCACGCAAGGGGGTGAAGGCTGAAATTAGGACAACGTTCTTACGACGCAGAAAGGTGACAATCCAAGTAAGTTGAGACACCTTGCTGGGTCCAGGAGTGTGTGTGAGAGTGGCGTGGTGTGGGCGGTGGGGCCGGGGGCGGTGTGGAGGAGAAGTGCCTCAGATCAGGATGCTGGTGCCCAGCACGGGTAGGGGTCAGGTGACAGCAGTGACAGTCCAAGCAATAAAAGCAAGCAAGTGGAAAAGACCGACACCTGCGGATGGAACCTGAGCAGTGTGAGCGGGGAGAAAACGAAAACAAACCCAAAGTGACAAAAGCCAGGTCAAACAGGAGGGAAGGACGAAAACTCTAAGTGGGAGCGCTGGAGCCCTTTAAGCATCTCTAAGCTACCCAAATCCAGGAAAGGTGCGAGGAAAGGCAGCACGAAACGAGTGGTATCGGCGTGTGTGGGCGGCGTGGGGAACCGGTTCTTCACTAATGCCTCCGAAAGGTCGGCGGATTCGTTTCTTGTGTTTATTGGGGGAACCTTAAGGTGAGGTAAATCTCAGGTTTCTCGTGATAGTTCGACTCTCTCTCTCTCTCTCTCTCTGCTGTCTCTCTGCCTCTCTCTCTCTCTCTCTCTCTCTCTCTCTG